TATGAAAGCAACGCGTTTAATTGAGCATTTTCTTCCAAAATCTTTATAAGAAACCCTTAAACGTGGCTCACTGTACAAATACAGTGATACTGAAAGACCATCATATTATAAACCATACTATGTATAAAGAGTCCAAAATATGAACACAACGCATTTTATTACACGTTAAGCATTTTCTTCCATAGAAAACCGTTATAAGAAAACGCTTAACGTGGCTGACAGTGATATTAAAATACCAAACTCAGTACACATCATATTAATAAACCTATACCTATGATTAGAAAATAAGATGAGTCCAAAATATTAACGCAATGTGTTTAATTACACGTTAAGCATTTTTCTTGTCCTGCACCAAGCTTCGTCAAAATGCAAGAACTCTGTTTTTAGTATGGAGGTTAAGCCCAAAAATATAGGCCTTTGACTTCAAGTCATGATGCAAAGGTCGCTTTGGTATGGAAGTATAGGGTCATACAAATAATTTCATCCTAAGACACAAGTGAGATCACACTTTGTAACAGAAATAAATATTTTTTCAAATACTCTAGACCCTTTGTTCTGTCATCACTATAATGACGAATTGTGCATCACATGTACATTTGTGGGGTCAAGGAATCCAATAAAATTGATTTCAAGTTTTAAAAATAATAATTTTCCCCATATCAATTTCCCCATGACAACTGGGGGTAAATATGCATATTTCTTCACAATTACAAATTGTGTCATCAGAGTGACTTTACTTATCTTTGCATTCAAAGCTTTAATTTTGTATTTAAGCAGTGCAGCTACTTCTGTACAATTTGACATACAAGAGCTGACAGGGAGATGACTTGCGCTCTAAAAGGAGTGGCAAGTACTTTGGGGACATAACCATGTCTTGGTTTGAGGATGACTTTGGAGTCATTAGGCTCAAATTGAAGGCACGACGGGCTAACAGAAAGTGTAAGTCACCCTGAGAAAGCGGACTACAAGGTCATTCCTACCCAGTGACTGGCCATGCGAATGTTTGACAAACACAGCAATAGCTGCCACATACTGTATACCTTGAGCGTGGAATTCGTGGATGGGGATCTACCCTTATCCAAGTGCTCCTGTAGGAAGGAGAGAACCTCCGACACCCGACATTCTTGTGGATCCAGGTTGCGAGCTGAGCACCAACCTGAGAACACTGACCACTTGGAAGCATAAAGCCATCTAGTAGAGGGTGCTCTAGCTTGTGTAATCGTGTTTAACACTCCGTCGGGGAGACTGACAGGTAACCGTTGATGGCCCACATGTGCAGAGCCCAATGCTCGGGTCGTGTGTGCCAATTCATACCTCCGGCCTGTGAGAGGAGATCTCTCCTAAACGGGACAGGCCACGGAGCCAAGCTCTGAAGCTGCATCAGCTCCAGAAACCAAACTTGGTTCGGCCAGAAGCTACTATCAGCCAGAAGCTACTTTACTATATACTACGGAGCTACTATAAGCACAGACGAATCGTTCTCCCTGATACGACTTAAGCTCTGCCAAAGGTGTCCCACTGTAGCTGAACTGTCTGAGGGTGGAGGGATCATTCCCCTGGGGGAACGTTGTCCCTGGAAAGCCTGTCTAGACCCACATTCAGATGGCTTGGCACACGCTGATTGCTCTAAGATTGCCATTCAAGCAGGCGTTCTGCCAGGACATGAAGGTTCCGTGATCTCAGACCGCTCTGGCGATTTATGTAGGAAACCACCAACAACGGTACAGACCGTTTAATAAGAAGATACTTTATGAAGACAGTTCACTTCGCGTATACAGGCAGGAGCCATCTTAAAAAATAGTCTCGATAAGTCGATCCCCGAACGCCGTTCATACAGTTCAGAAGTTCGTTGAACTTCATAGAGTTCAGATCACTCAGCACGACGTTCGTGGTTTGACTTATCAAAACTATTTTTTAAGATGGCTCCTGTCTGTATACGCGAAGTGGACTGTCTTCATAAAGTATCTTCTTATTAAACGGTCTGTACACTTACAAAGTTCTCAATGCTTCGTTTTGCATGTATGGAGCCTCATTATGTTACTGTGTGAGTGTGGGGCTATTTTGAGCCTTGTTAGTGGTATAAACTAGTGATTTCTTTTTACTTACTCAATGCCCCCATTAGCATTATACGCTAAACAGTTTTTAGAGATAAAACTCTTTGCATTCGATTATCATGAAAACAAATCCCAGAGAACGGTTGACTATGTACCGATGTTTTATTAGACCAAAGGTTCATTGTTCGCCGGAGTTCTCCTTTAAGTCGGAAGCAGTTCGTCCAGATAGGTGAACGATATTATGCTCTGATGGTACAGCAGGCAACCAACGTGTCATGTGGATGAAGGACGAACCCAATAGCAGACAGCAAGTAACTCAAAACAGGGATTTATTAATGACAAAAACAGAAAACAAAACCCACGAGGGGGCAAAACAGGACAGGAGCCAACTTCACCCTCAAACCCTACATATTTTTATATAGCATGTTAAAGTTGTCACTATTTGAGGGTTTGGCCCCCAAAAGGGTTTTCTGTTTGAATGCTTGCTTTCAGATTGCTGCAGAATTCCACAGAATTATTAATATCAGCTTGAAAACAAGTTCTATGCAGAAGTGGACAACCAGACTCCTCAACTAATTGCTGTTAAGCTGCTGAAGTACTGAGAAGCATCTTTAGTGCTGTTGATCTTGTGGTAAATGTTACATTTATAGGCTAGTACAAGTTAATTGGTTAATGTGTACAAGTATTTTATCTGTTAATAGTTTAAACCTATAGCTTTGAACCTTTTTTTGCTTCAAATTTCTTCCCCTCTTTCATCTGTACTTTTATATTTTATTTCTCTTTCACCACTAAGACATTCTGGTCTTTTTCCAGGATCTCTATACGATATTGACAATAGACGTACAGCTGCACTTCAAATGGTGCGCTTAACATCCGAACGTTTTGATCATTAATAAGGCTGCATTTTAATTCACCTTAATCGGGTACATCAGTGTTGTAGTCGAGACCACCTCACTCGAGTCCGAGTCGACACCGAGACCAGAGAGAGTCGAGTCCGTGTCAAGACCGAGTCCATAGAGAGTCGAGTCCGAGACCAGAGACGGTCGAGTCCGAGTCGAGACCGAGACCAGTGAGGGTTGATTACCTAATTTACTTTTATTTACTTAGAGAAATAGAGTTTTAAATTACTTAGAGTTTTAAAAATATGATCAGTTTAGGGTAAAAAGGCCACAGTAGGTGTTGTTAAAAGTAATTTTATTACAATTTGTCATGCGCAGTTGTGCACTAGAAAATCACCAATCACTGGGCGTGTCAATTAATTTAAAGAAATATTTTATTAACATACATTAATAATCATGAAAAATATTTTTAATTGAACTCGAGTGGACTCGGGAATAATTCCGAGTCCTAAAAAAAAAAATGTTCGAGTACGAGTCAATTCCGAGTCCAAATGGACACGAGTCCATGACAAGACCAAGGCCATTAAAATATGGTCTCGAGACCGAGTTCGAGACGAGTCCGAGTCTCGAGTACTACAACACTGGGGTACATATTTAAACAGCATTTTGAGCAGATCTGGTGATCGATGGCGGTCCTTCTCCAGTTTGAATACGATTTTTCCGAAGTGAACTAATTCGTTTTTTGTTGTCAAGCTTAATGTCGAACCATTTTCTTCTCACTTCTGGAACTGTTCGATTAACAGATGAAACTCCATTAACTTCATCTGTAATATGCTGCCAAGCTTCCTTTTTAGGACCTGATAGGCCACTATGTACTCTTATGAAATGTAGCGTTTTGAATGAACTTCTGATAATAAAACTTCAATTTCTGCATCCGAGAAATCTTTCTTTTTCATTCGCATTCATCCACAGATGTCAGTATATATGGGCCATATAATGGGCCTGATTTAAGGTAATTTAGAATGAACGTGCAAGCGCATGCCATTTACGAGTGGTTTGAAGTACGAAGTATTTGTGAATCAGGAGAAGAGTTTTCAGGTCTCTTTACGCGCAAATCACTCTCATATTTACTCGAATGTGTCATGAATGAGACCCATTGAGTTTCTATTGCATGTGAAAAGATGAATGCTAAAGTTTGAGATAACTCACAATTGTACTCTAATACAATCACTCTTCCTCTAAATGGACTGCTTGTTCCTGGAGGCGGGGTTTATGTACATTTTAGGGTTGGTGATGTTAGTAACCCTACCCTAGAGGAATGTTGTGTAGTCCCTACCAGCCATTTGTTGTAGTCCTTTTATTTGAAAGCAAATATCTTCCTTTGCTTTGGACTTTGCTTTTGAGCTTTTGTAACTTTGATAATGTTGTTTATGCTAAAACAGCAACATTACACACTTACTAAAGT